CGAGATATCAAGTCTAAAGATGTCCAAAGTACCCGCTTTGAGCAAACAAAAGTCATAAGGCACATGCCAGCACCACGGATGGAAAAAGGGGTGCACCCACACAACCACCCTTTCACTCCATGGTGCTCTTGGAGTTGAACCTGTTTGCTTTCTAGTAATGGCCTCCACCTAGTAGCTTCTAGTTACTACAAGTGAAACGATTCCCAAGGACGCTTCTAGCTCCTAGCAGCTTCTTGCTTCTAATGGCGGTGCCCTTTGCTCCGTTCGTAGCGTCCCTTGTTCCTATAGTAGTAAGGCCCGGCCAGGAGCCCCGTTCGTAGCGTTCGACCGCTCCATTCGTAGCGATGCCCTTTGTTCCTATATATAGAATGCTTCTTTGGTTCGAAAGAGTCCCCGTTCATGTCGGTGTCGATTCTCTCGCCCCGTTCGTGCGCGCCTGTCCACTGACCGAATATGTCCAGCGAGGCAATTCTGACGGGCATATACGGTTGTTTTTTGGGTGAGGTTGCTGAGGGAAATTGTCCACCTGGACCCTCCAAAGTACCTTGGAAAATGGGTCATGAGTCATGACCCCATTAAAAAAATAAAAAACAAATCAGGTATAGTACAAAACGTACCCATTGTCCGAGGTACGAACTGAGAGTCCAGGCAGCATCTTTCAATCAGCTTTGACCCTATGACCTCAAAAACCCCATCGGAAGAGTGCCGTCCGGATCGGAAGAATGGTCTCGGTCTTCGAAGCTTAAGCAAAGGGTCTTCGAAGCACTGGTATAACCCCGTTCAGCGGCGCACCAGCGTTCTGGTCCCGAAGAACAACGGACCTGTTGCGAGCAATGTTCAGCGTTTTGGGTGAGCCTTGAACACCCCTCGCTGGTGTCCAAAACAACACACCCAAAGGCGCATGAAAAGGCCCGGCCCAAGAGAGGAAAAAGAAACATGAAGCATGGCTCATCGGCGCAGTAGTTCTGCTCATGTCACGTGACGTGCTGTTCTCACCCCGGCGGCGATCCCGGGTCACACCAGCCTGACTCTCCCAATGGACCAAAGACTGTTCGAGCCAAGTGGCGGCCACAGTTGGTGTCACACGTTCGGCGGCGGGGTTCGCGGCAGTTTGGGTGGGAGCATGAGATGTTGTTGCCAAAGCCAGGTGTTAGCCTGCCATTTGGTTGATCATAATATTCTGAAATAGACTGTCAGACTAATGATAACTCATTTGAAGCACGGGTAGAGATGATGGTCACAATGGTGGTCATGCTGCCATGGGGGAAGCTTATCTGCAGACCAACGGTGCCCAAAACACTTCATGTCAAACCCAAGAATGAAGACAAATAATTAACAACCAACCTTTTCATAGCCGCGATCAGGTGGCTGGGCTGTACTTCACCCGTGAATCAGCTGCGGTTCACCCGTGTGCGCTGATCGGTTGATCAGACCACCCCGCACCGGAGGAACGAGGTTCAAGACCTGGTCGCGACCAACGACGGAACCGTTCCTGGTCTGGTTGCCAGGCTGCGCTGCCAGTCACACGTCCGAACGCTCCGAATCCTCGGACCTCGACCAAGCCAGGGCCAGAAGTCACGCTCACCACGGGCAGGTACGTTTGGATTCCGGCCGGTGCACCGCTACTGCTACTACGGCTAATGCAAAAAGGCGGTTGGCATCGGCATCAAAAGGCACTTTAGAGGGTTCTGGGAGGAATCTCGAATCCCAAAGTCCTACAGGTGTCAGGCCATGTCAGGCCGATTGCTTGTAGAAGGCGGACAAACCAAACCATCGTCGAGCGGCGCCGAGCCCACACACCACGTAGACCGACGCACACCACTCGCTGAAAATCCATATCAGCGTTGGCCCCGGTCCTTTGAGACCCGATCGGTGAAAAGAACCCGCCCATTCAACAGGGAGCCCATTCGTGATGTTCCCAACGAGTGTAGCGAAAAGAAGTTCCCGAGGTTTTGGCACTCAAAACACCACCACCCCACCACCAGCAGCACCACCACCACCACCACCAGCAGCACCAGCACCAGCACCAGCACCAGCACCACCAGCACCAGCACCACCACCAGCACCAGCACCAGCACCAGCACCACCACTGCCAAGAAAGTGAAACCTAGAGTTTTTTAGCATCCATCCAGTGGCTGCAAATCCAAAAAGCGCTACCAACTTCTGAGGAATGCTGAGAATTGGTTCTCGGAAGATGTTTTCGGACCATGATAGGGAGCCGCCTCCCCGGCCCAGCCACAACCCGCACAGAGCGTTCGCCAGCGCGCTCGCGACTCGCCCAGGTTTTGCTTTCTCGTTGACGGTTTACTGTTGAGGCCAGGGAGGGACACGTCTGTTGGAGCAAATGGAATCCGAACGTCCGAACACTGCATGCTGCATGTGGTGTTTTTTAGATGTTTATAGTGAAGGTTCATGCAACAAAAGAATTGTAAATAGATGTAGAAGTGGAACTTCAAGGGGATTTGTAGCAACAAAAACTACTATAGCCTCTCTGGCAGTCCCACAAGTCCTCGGTTTTTTCAACTGTTTGTTGCACATTGTTGCACAAATGTGGACAGCCAGCTAGTTCGTCAGTTTACACGAATTTGCACCACAGTCATATGTACCCAGGACCCACAACCCTGGAAGCGGAGGTCAGACCAGCTTTTCATTGAGGCTATGAAACCTTCCCAACGACAAGCACCGATTCCGTAGCCTTTCAAGTACCGATTCACAAAGGACTCCGTCACGCTTTGATCAAAGGTGAGGTCCGTTTACCCTGAACATGATCGGTGCAGAAGTGGTTTGAGAACTTGTACTGCCTCTTGCTGCTTGTTCTATTGTATAAAGGCGGGAAGAAGAAACCCACCGGTCACTATCAAAGAGTTCTGAAAGATCCCGAAGTGCATCTGAATTCACCTCAACTTGCACATTGATTTCTCCTTCAAACCTCTAGCTCCAGCAACCTGCCGGTCGTGTTTGTTCCATCTCGTCAGGATAGCCACAAGACCTACAAAAAATGCCTTATGTCCTCTCCATCGCCGCTCCAGCATGCTCCAGCTCCGCGCCCCCCCCATTCCAGCTCCGTTGCCAAGCGCAGCGCAGTCGCGGTCGGCGGGGGTTTCGCCATTCAGCTCATCTGGTCGAACACCCCGCGAAAACCGATGGACCGCTCGGTCCAGTCTCGACAGGGAGACCAGTGAGCCGATCAGAAAGCAATGGGTGTCCTAGTTGTATCTAAAGAACACACTCACGCATTATAAGCATATACTACATAAATGTATATATTATAGCTAGCTATAATAGTCAAACTGTTACAACAAAAATGGAGGAATTTCACATCGATTTGTGTCTTTCAAACTCTAAGTATGGAGTCAAACATTTTTGTTGCAGCACAGTGCCCCACACGAATGACATGGCGCAAACAGTGGTCTATGAGCAAACAGCTATGACATGGCTGCAAGACAGACAACAAATCAAATGCCATCATGTTCCTGGACCAATGTGTTGGTGGCAAAACACAACACTTGAACAAGGACACCGATTCATTCGGTGCTGCCACCAGCCGGAAAATTGGTGAATCGTGTATATAGTTTACTTATATGTTTCCCCAAGAAAGAACAAAATCCCAAAAGTTCACAACATGAAGTGTATTACCCTGCATTTGTCTACAACTATCAGGGTTAATGAACGAGTTCTCCAACACCGGAAGTCAACCTGGAGGCTGAACCATCGGATAAGTTCTCTTTCGACATATCCAGCAGATACCTAAGCATTGCTTCGATGATCCCACAAAGAAAGCATTGGCAGTCTGGGCCGCAAAATCACAAGGTACAAACACATGTTGTTTTGTCTATTTCTTTCTGGCAAATGTTAATCTGTTCTTCTGCTCAGTGGCATTCAAACCAACACATCTACACACACCCAAGCGTCAAAGTTGTTTTGGGAGGTTCCATGTCCATCGACATTCTATCTACTGAAAATCTTTGCTGATTCAATCCCTCCATGCGACGCGCCGATGATGACGCCGCAGCTCGTACGAGCTGAGGACTTACGGTGAAGACCGACTGCGGTGGCGAAGTAGCTACTCTTTGCCATGTCGAAAGAAGTGCATTGTTCTCTGGGTGAGATCAATACTGGGTCACCCTCTAAATTGCAGCTATGTACTTCTTTTTCAACGGCCTGGGGGCAGCAGCTTACATTACAAAACGGGTCATGCGGAAAGCAGCAAAGGTCGGTTGAACTTGCCAAGTTCATGCCGAATCAGGATGGCTTTTGGGGTCGTTCGCTTAAAGATACTGTGTCGTCATTGACACGTAGCTGGTTGAACATTGACTGACTCTAACTACCGAAGGTGGTGAAAGCTGCTTAATCTTCTTCGCCACCTGACCTGATCACGCCGAGGATTTGCCAAAGATGGCCCCAGAGACATTCTCATGTGCCATCTTCTATGATTTCAGGGCTGTCAAGGCAGTCCACCAAGGATAGAAATGATTACGCCCAGGATCTGCATCATTTGTGAAGTATACCAGGAGTTGAGTCAAATAGCCGCTATAGCCCCAGCTACGCAGTCTGTAGGTTTCGATCGTATTTTTTGGTGAGGGTAATTGTAGTGGATTGAGAGTAGATGGCACAAGTTACCCCAAGTTACCCCAAAAGACATCTTGCAGTACCAGTGCCATCGAACCTCTGAAACCACTGTACATGGCTCAGGGTGCTCGATTCCATCGGGGCTTCCCTTGCATTCCCAACATCCTCATCAAACGGAATGATCTTCTTTGGCCATGTACCAAGTTGAACATGACTCTAATATCTAAAAATTATGCTATAGAAATCTAAGAACTATTTCTAAGTGCTTACGCCAAGTCAAAACATGGTAATCAACACTATAAGACATAATAATTTAATACCTATCACAGGGTTTTGAGGGTGACATCTATCTTCTCCAAATCTTCTGGCACAACGTCCCAGGTTGGTCACACTCCGGCACTGCACAAAAGCCACAACCGGCGCATAACCACCTATCGTCCACCAATCCTGGCGTGGGGAACTGACTCAACGAGCAACGAAGATCCCAATGTTGCAACTTGAAAACATACCCGTGTGTACTTAGGCCTGACCTGAACTCCTAGACAATATGTGTTTAACACAACTGGGAACACCTAGATTTGTTTGATATAACGTAGGTCCTCCTACAGGAACAAATAGATCGATTCCAGACGGGTATCTGTTACCCTAATCCTGTTGACGATCCTGCTACTTCAAGGATCCTGCTGATGAATGGTGCAACGTTTATCCTAATTTGTGTTACCCTATCCTAATCCTCTGTTGTCAAACAACTGCTAATGAATGCTCGTCTCACACACACACAAATGACACACGAATCACCAATAATCACCCTGCTACTTCACTCATGGCAAAGTGCCAACCCTAGTGAAGTACCACGATTTCTTCATACCTCCTATAACCACGAATCTTCCAACACCTCGTCTTTGGACCTCAACATCAGAGGCAGGCAATCGGCAACACCCCTTCTCGATGGATGGATGAAAATGGATTCGCATCGTGTTTGCGGATGGATGGCCTTTGGTATGATGCTGGCTGTGGCAGGGCTGTGGCTGTAGATGATGCCACCAGTGTTCCCCGACCTGGCCACTTGGTTTTCCTGGTCGGGCTCCAAGTTGAACGACTCAGAAGTAACCCCTGTGTTGATGCCACAACCTTAAGCTGCGCCCTTAGTGGATGGTGACGCCGGATCCTTTAAACAGCGGCCACCGTCACCGCCGTCACCGAACCCACGTCGCGGCGACCAGACCAACCACCGGCGTTCCTCGGAAGAACCCGTCCTGGGAGGCTCTTTGTTGCCTCCTCCTTGGCAACAGGCCTTCTTTGGGGCCTCACAGCGGTCGGAACTTGTTTGAACCGTTTGAACGGTCGGTAGATCCTCGTCACCGTCCGAGAGTAACCCATCCGAACCCATCGTCTCGGTCTCAGGCAGGTCACCAGTGAAACACATCCATCCTGCTTGGTACACCACGAGATGATTGCCAATCTTGAACATGAATCCCTAAGAATCCATTCAACTGGGGGATTGACCAACGACAAACCGGGCTGGTTGAAATGGCATCAATTTTGGCAATGTTCAAGTCTGGGTTTGGTAATGGGGTCTGTGTTTGTTTTGTTTCTGGTGGCTCTAAAGACATTCATCTGGAAGTCTTGACCTCAACACCCCCCAAGCCACTAGAATCTATGCAAAAAAACATGCAACAACTCACCAAACGGCACCTCTTGAGATGACACGCCTTCCTCCCCCGCTTTGCCCGTCGTAGTGACCCTCTGCCATTTGCGAATTGACACACCAAGTTGCTCCTCCGCCCGCAGGCCCAGGGTTCCCAAGGCCTTGGACGACGGCATGTCGTGAACCCTGAGGAAGGTGGTCCTGCCGTTGATGAAACAACTGGATATCCCTGGTACCGTTGCATACATGTTCTAAAGTTGGTAGGTTTGCCATCCCTCCTGAAAACACACCCCAACCAAGAGCAATCTCCTACTTTTGCCACCGTTTGCTCAATCCACCTCAAAACGGGAAGACCTACATGTATATCATCCTTTGCCGGTAACATTAACTTATAAGTCGCAAATTTGAACAAGCAACACTGGTGAAAACAAAGCGACAGTGGCCTTCATGGCAACACTGAGCAAGCAAAATCATGCCAGCCTTCACCCGACTGAACAGGCCAGAGTGGTTCCACTGAAGCAACTCACTTACTGACTTGCTGACTTACCTTACTTTATTTGATTTATTTTAATCTACTTTACTGACTTTACGTACCTTTACAGCGCTGACGCTCCTTTACTCTATTTTACTTACTCACTTCCTTGCTTGCCTGATTGCTTGCTTGCTTACTCACACATTATAGCATTGTGATACATTGAATCAAAACGTGGCGTTCACCACTCCGGTATGGCGTCAGCTGTTGAAACAACACGGGACCGCAACGCTAGAACACAGAACACGGGACCCTAGACATCCCAACAAAACCACAAAACATATGCACCAAAACACAATGTCTGTCAATCGTGTCAAACCAATCACCATTCCTGAGCTTTTCCTGCGGCCAATTCAAAATGTGGACTTGTTGAAAAGGGTCCTCATTGCTGGTCTGCAGCAAGTTCAACATGCCAGCAAACATACCCTGCCCAGCCACCGAGCCACAGGGAGTAGCAACAACTTCACCCACTCACCCAGTCAGCAACTTCTCACAGCTTCATCACTGAACACCATCTCAACACAATCCATTTGGGTGTGGTGTGTACTTGGGTTTAGGGAGACCGGGTTCTGGTCTATAAATGTCCTTCTTCCACAGGGTCTTTGGGAGGTCTCCTTATTTTGATACGCACCCAAATTGGTTTACACCCACTCAAGGAACCCGGCGTTCTCCTGCCTCCTGCTGCTGTCTGGGTCGCCCAACCGATTGGCCCCGATTGCCCAGGAGCTGCTTTGGCTGCCGGCTGCTTTTGTCTCCTCCTGAATAGTCGCTTGGACTTCGGCAAAAAAGAATATCATGAACTATCATATGTTCAGCGTTGTCAATGCTTTCGTTCCTCTTAGAGTCCAAACTGTGTGGGGCGGATGGGCATATGTCCGGACATGCAACGGTGCAAGCACCACTTGAGCATAGATAAGCCCTTTTTGCCTTGATCACCCCTTGAAGATACACATATTCACCCACTGGACCCAGCATGGCTCAAAGGCTCTATAGACCTCCTCACGTCACGAGTTTTCAAAAAAACCGGTGACATCGCCCGCGGCCAACGACCCTTGAGAAGTCGGAAGGCTGAATCTGCTTGAATATAATTATATATAATGTCAAGTTAGGATTAATCAATCCCCCCTAGTTAACCCGAGCCCACAAAGCCGCCGAAAATTACCCAAATTAAAAGTATTATTCGCTGTTGATTTCCCCCCCCTATGGTCTACTTTTCTACCAACAGTCCCCCCCAGTTAATCCGAGCCTACACAATCCCAAAAAGAGTAATATTACTTTTAATAAGGGGTTAACTAGTGGAGGTTTATGTATCCTAACTTGACATTATATCCACATAGTACTCATGAGGGAGCTTATGCAATCCTCATCAGCCAATGCCCAAAAGGCATTGTGGAGCAGAACCATGGTGGCTTATGAGACTACCTCACCTGCTCACCAGCTCATACCCATTCTGAGCCCAAATGTTACCAGCCAGTTTCTCTCATCCCTCATGGTCCAATAGACTGTTCCTCTCACCAGGACTCTAGCCTCATGCTCATCAGCTCATCCCCTCTCAAACCTTCATGGTCCAATGGTCTCATAGCACATTATTCAGGGGGGGTGGACCTCATGAGTGGTATCTCAGACCTTGTTGACCTACCATGTGGGGGGGGGGTTATTAATCCGGGGTTGACATTATAACAAATTGTGTATCTTTAACAACCTATCAGCCAACATCTTTTGAAAAAACCTATCGATCCAAAGTCAAAGTATGTATCTCCATCTTTTCATCGCGGACTTCCCCGAACAAGACGACCCGGCCAGTTCTCGGAACGAGTCTTGTGCATCGCCTCATCTCCACAAGGTTCTGCGCCGCCGTCAAGAAGGCCATGTCCACGTTCGCCGCCGTCTTGGCCTCGGTTGGGACGTCGGCCCAACGGAGGCGCGGCGCGACACGTGACGCGACGTGACGTGTCCGACGTGAAGGCGTCGTACTATTACGGGTGGTCAATGGGTTTTGGTTTGTATACGGGTGGATTCTTTTCATGATCGATGTGGTGGGGAGATTGAGATCAGTCGCATTGGATTGGTGGATTCGTGCTTTAACAAAAAGGAAGGTACTCGGATGCCAGGGAGGAACCGGAACACATTGCCCATGTCTTTCGAAAATCATTGGAGGAAGTAGCTAGTGTCACCGGAAAGCTAGAAGAAGCTGTATGATTCAGGGAAAGACTCTGTCACCACTTGGGATGCAGAAGTCACTGTATTCGGATATTATCGCATCTCAGGTGGTGCGGGGTTTTCCCTTACACCAGGACAGCTAGACTTGCCCAAACTCATGCAGCTCCTAACATGGAAACCACACGCCTGGGGGAAAACAAATCTGTATGCTCACTTTGTTATTGTGTTTTGCCGGATTAAAGAACCACTCGTTGTGCATATTTGTGCATGGCATACTCTTGGTGTCGAAGCCCAGATAGGGCAAGGAACACAATAACACATGGCAGTAATCATTCACTTCCTTCGATATTCATCAATGAGTCACCGCCATCACCTCCAGGTCGTGCTTTCTGATATAGGTGTTTTCCTCTGCGCTTTCTGCAAACCGGCACCGGTACGGCAGACACAGGTCTGGACCCCAAATCCACCATGCCCTATTGGTTCCTCTAAGGAACGAACCGTTACCAGGCACCTGTTCTGCATCGTAGCAAGCGAGGCGTACCGTTCTGTCCCTCACTCGAGCTCGTCACTCGGTAGTGTCACAGCCAGCGACGAACGAGGCTCCGAACGGAGGTCGCAATAAAGAAGGCGCCCATCTGTTCAGCCTGCGTGACATCGCACGAGGTGCACCAAAACTGCATGGGACTGTAACCTCACAAACCAAGTGAGGGGAGTTTCCTGCAACAAGACGACATAATGGTTGAAAGTTGATGTGATCTTTGTGGCGAACCTTAATTTGTCCATGTGCTTAACTTGTGTCCCCCCCCAATGTTCACTGCAACGGTGAGCTGCTAAACCTTGGACCTGGTTGGAAAGATGTTCCCTCACCGGACGAATTCATGTGAATCGGGGCCTGTCTCCCTGCAGGGAATGGGACCGTTGCAACCTTCCCTCTGCCGGGGCTTCTCTCTGCAGGTCCCCAGGCGGCCAAGTTGAACAGTTCCGATGTTCACTCGGTAGCAGCCAACGAGAGGGAAACGGAAACACACGCCGTGGGCAGACGAACCAAACCTCCTGCCCAAAATGGTGAAAACAGGTTATCCACTGACGGGGTAGTGAAACATCGCAATAACGGGCGAACACACTCAAGTGTTCCTTTGCCATGGGGCAAGGCGAACTGGCAGTATAATTCCTAGCTCTGTCCAGGTCCGGGTCATCTGATCGCAAGGGTTCGATCGTCGGATAACACAGGGTCTTTCCCCAAACACAGGGTCCTTATGTATCAATGGATGCAGCTCATGCAGGTCAAGCGGTTGACACTCTGCAGGCATCCATGTTACATATCCATCGATTGTTTGCTCACATGTTGCCAACAAGGATTGCTGTGCTTCTCCGCCTGGGTATATGTTCATGTCCAATTTTAGATCAGGGATACAATATATATAGCCACAGAATAGCTTCTTCAAACTCTTGCGCGTGGTGTTCATCCCCCTCTTCATGAAGAATTCCTTGTGTTTTTGCAAGCTAGACCTTGCTTTGCTGATGACTTGGACTAACTCCTGCTTTTGCTCATCCCCAATTTTGCCTTCTAGCCTCTACTCTAGCATGATCATGGCCATGCCAGCCTGTAGCATCGGGACATCTTTTTGCTGGCACTCTCTCGTCCCTCCGATCTTGAGACCAAAACCATCCCAAATCTTCCGTCCAAACCCGCAACCTCATCTTCTCACCCATCTCTCCCCACCTTCGTCCCCATCCCTTTCCTCATATCTCCACCTCCACCTTCTGACCGGTGCTCGCCCGGTGTCGGGCGCGTTCGCCCGGCATGCCTTGGCTCGTCCCTCTTCCTCAGTGACCTGCAGCTCATCCAACATGTCGCACTTGTTCCCCACCTGGCGCGGCAGCGACAGGAGTCGTGACCAACCGTTGGTGGGTTTTAACCACCTGTTCACAAGCGGTCGTGGTGGCCTGGCTGCCTAGAAATGAACAGTGGAACAAACACCTGAAGGATATGCAAATAAAAACTCATGGAATCGCGCTTCAATTTGCCATGCTTTGAGAAGGTGAGAACAGCCATCACTCGACATAATATGGCTCGTCATGAAGCTAATTCTACCGGCACCCACATCGTACCATGAAAGTACTTGCCTCAGAACTCTGGGCTCCATTTCCACACATGGGTCTTTAGGACATCATTCTGAATATGTCTGAACTCCCAAGTGGGATCTTGGATGATCTTGGCATTTGGGCCCATCGTCACATTCCCCGATAGCTTTGCCTAACACCCGATAGCTGCGACTTGCTGGTCACACTATCTTTCGTCCTCCCGGAGGGTCAGACCGATGGGTCGTCCGACCATGTGGAGAGCCTTTTTTTCGTTGGCAAAGCGCTGAGTCTGTCGTTGAACCCGCGGCAAACTGCAAACGGTCCGCCGGGACGTCCTTATGTACAAGAGTTCGGACTGGACCAGGAGGCGACACCCGGGGGGCGACACAAGTCTATGGAGTTGGATCCAATGATCCTCCTCAGGATTTTGTGTTTCACGAGTTCGCACGAGTTAGGGGGAATGCATTCAATCACTGAAAAGGATCAAGGAAAGGAATGAAGGAACCCATTTCACTCTGGCGGGTCAATCTTGAATACCCTGAACCCTATCTCATCCTATCTCCTCGAATACCCTGAACCACGGAAAAAGCCCCAAGCTGGTCAAAGCTCTTGTCCAATCGCGAAATCGGCTCACTTGCCAGCACCCGAGTTCCGGCCACCGCACCGAGGACAGAAGTGTACATGATGACCTGGGCGCTGCGGCTTGGGCGTGTATTGATGAGTTGAGCTATTGGTCGCGCAAGACTCACAGGTGTGGAAAAGACTGCGGCCACTTGCAAGTGGCTGCAAGTGGCTGCAAGTGGCCGTGTTTCCGAAAAAATGTAACATATATGTGCCTCCTGTGCTCTCAATGAGAACTTAAAGTAAATGGAAGCGAAAAGGGAAGTGAGACTCTTAGATGGATGGTGGGCCTACCAAATAGATAGCAAGGCATAAAATATGACGGCCCCTTTCTCCCTCAAACAGCTCTGAACAGCTCCAAACAGCTCCCCTTCCTGTCCGACCTAAAGTCTTTCATATGAGAATCTCACCTCTGCCAGCATCCGATGGCCAAGGGCTTAACAAACACCCAGCCATCAATGTTGGCATCCAATGTCTGAACATCTGGAATTCTCTGACCAAAAGCACTGGCTCCAGTGCAGGCTGCAACCAGCTTGCCAACTTTCGCGATACCTAGCTTCCAAAGTCAAATTCCCTGCAAATCTTGAAGAGTGAGCGTTGTTCTTGGCACACCAGGTTCTAGGCCTTGGTGGTTCCTTCAAACTGGGCATGCAAGTTGAAAGCAAAGTAAGCTACATCCGCCCGCAGTGAGAACTGTTGAAGTTAATCCATGTCGTGCACCATCTATGTCGTGCACCCAAACAAAATTGTGAGACACATGCAGTGGATCGGGTATCTCTATATATTTTAGCCTGTGAGTCTTGTTGATAATACAAGGTGTTCCAACATGTTCCAACAGTAGCTTGGTATTTCTCGCCCCATCCCCATATACATCTGTTTCTACCAAAAACCAGTTGAGATCTCCTGGGCGCCCGGACCCTTCAGCCGCCTTGTCCCACTCTCCATAGACTCCCTAGACGACCATCACCACTGCCTCAGTGGTAAGGACACTTCTGAGAAGTGAACTCGAAACAAACACAGGCAAACAGGCTTTTCATAGTTTTTCTAGAGCCTGCTTCCAGGCCTTCCAGGTTCTTCCTGTCGAATCACTTGCTTCTTCACTCAAATCACGAAGAACTTTTGATGTGGTAAAATCTCGAGATCATTCCTAAGTCCATCAGACTGGGCTGGACATTTGAAGAAACGAGCTTCTATAGAATAAGACCGTACAGGTCTTGCGGACCACATTTCACTTGAACAGGTCATGCAAACACACTATTCAATAAGATCGGTTACCAGCTTTCACTTCCTCCTTGAACTGTTACATCCCCCGTGAACCTCCCCTCAACCTCGTCTCGCAGCCTCCACGCTCGGCAGCGGGCAGGGTCCAGCATCGCAGGCGCCCGCGAGCAGCTGGACGACCTCGCCCCGTTGCCAAGATCGGAAGGCCTCCTGGGTCGCGCCGTGGAGTCGCGTCGGACCGTCACTGAAGAGGCCCGGTGACGGTCCGGATGGTTGGAAGGTGACCACTATAGTCGGGGCGAGTGGGTCTAGTCTGTACATGTCAAGAATTTCTTGGAGTTGGGGCATCCCCCAAAAGGAGATGATGTTCGTTTTTGGGCGGTTTTTTCATTGGACCAAGTGGTCTATACCAGTTTCCATGTTGGGGATTTGGAGGGGGGGGTTACCCATCAGATGAAGAGGGATCACCGCAAAGAACATACATAAGGGCAAATCCCAAGACACAGAGTCATCTCAAGCTTCACTCAAGTCATCACAGCCTACCTAACGATTCAATTGCGTTTCTCCTATAACCGTAATCAATCTTCTTGTCTCCTTCTGGGATGCCTTCAATTTGTTCGACCCCACTGGAAACGGATCTTCGCCACCGAACACAACCCGAAAACACCATCGTGCTGGGTGATGCCGTCCGGTTTACAGCTGGTGGAAAGCATCAATTCATTCTCATGAAGACAGGACCAATATCCCTACCAGGACCGACTTCGGTTGAGGTTTTCTGGGGTGTCCAAAAACCACGGGACTTGGTTTCGGTCTGGTACAAGTCAATCGGAGTTGGTCACGGACCAGGTTTTGGGTCAGACTGGACTTGTAGACTATATAAATGACTCGATTGCCTCCCAAAACTGTGGTACCAAACGCACAGCACGTCCTTATCTAGAATTCTTGAACCCCTATCGTGGGTATGAACAATATATAGGACTGTTAATTACATAGTAAAAAGGCTTGATTCATCTTCATTCCCTGTAAAAACTATGGAAACTGAAAAAAAAAAAAAACAACCAACCAACCAACCAACCAAACAAACAAACAAACAACAAACCAACAAACCAACCAACCAACCAACTGCGCTACGCGCGACCGCGTTCACCGCGTTCTCGTCCGAGGCGCCGCAAAGGAGCGTCCCGACACTTGGAGGTCTCCCCGCGCTGCCTCAGGAGCGAAGCTGGACGAAGCTGATCGGTCAATTGAATGAGGTCGTTTCAAAAAAATACCTCCTATATATTTATACAGTCATATAAGAAAATATCCTATAGTGGCTCGGATGTGGAGTATAGTGGAGATTCTTGTATTAAATCCGAAAAAAGGTGGATCAAAGGTAGATCCCGTACCTCCCCCAAATCAAAAATGGTGTCCTTTCATCTTGGAGTCTTGGAGGAGATTTAAAAACAAACAAAAGCACTACTCGTTTGACCCTGACCCCAACAGTTTCTTTTCTGCTTGGATGTCATACGACCGACCCAGGCGCCAACAAAAAGGCCGTACCCAGGCAATGTCTTGACTCTGGCAGGGCTAGCATGGGCTGGCAGCGTAGCAACACACGTCTGGTCTATGGCGTAGAAACACTCGTTCGTTGGAAACACGTGAGTCCAAGTCATCGTTGGTCTGGAGATGATGTGTCAACTCAGTCGTGTGAAACCTCACCTTGACAGACCCCCATTCATTCACCAACTCACCAGCGACGACATTAGACTGCCCAGCGACGACATCTCGCTGCAGCTGGTTGGTGTGGTCAAACCTGGGAGATGGTGACGACTGAGACGAGTCCAGCGGGTCGCAGCAGGTGGAGAGCTCCGTTTCCGTGTTCCACAACGGTCTACACCGTACACCCGAGGAAATGAACATGGAACCCGAAAACCAATGGGTCGGGTTGAGGAGGAAATAGTCATCCAGTCTGGTCCATGCCATCAGGTTCCATGTGGGTCTCTTCCCGGGTGTAACATATAAGAAACGCCGAGCTTCTTCGGACAATGAGACTGGAATTCTGAGCGTGAGACTGGGCCCCGGCAGCCGTGGTGACTTGGATGGACCACCGAGTTCGGACTCAGCACGGGTGTCTTCTTTGCTTCAAGAAAGAACCCAAAACTACGAGACATGTTCATCATTGTTTTTGGGAGTACCCTGTGGTAAATTCTCATGTATTTTGGGCCCTGATTCACAAAAAGGTCTGGGGAGAGGTCACAACCTCAAGAGGTGGCAATCACAATGACTCTATTACACCTGTCAGATTGAGCCACACACATGCTCAAATTCCATATGTTTGTCCTTATATATTAACTTATTAACCACTTGGCTTGGCTTGGTCAGATTGTACACCCAAGTGATCTCATGAATATCTTGACCCCTCATTGTTTCCTGCATTTGGTATAATTTAATGCTCCAGGGAGTCCGCCGCAGGGTGTCCTCCCACCCAAAATGATGCTGTGCATCTGCACCGCCGTTCCGTCCGCTCGCGTCCCCCTTCATCCAGTGGCCAGCTGGGTGCCCAAAGCCCCCAGTGTGGATGCTGCCGCAAGGCATCCTGACGAGGGCGTGGAGGCTGACGAGTGGAGAAGAATGACTCACCAACTGGAGGATATGGACATTTCTGCAAATAGGAACGGCGTCATGAACCAATGGCCTTGACAAATCTCCATAGGGTCGGAAAATTGCCTGTTAGGAGAAACAGGAATCTATATATACCAGTTCTATAGTGATTGCAAGTTGTGACCAATGCCAATCCCCAAAAAAAAAACAAAAGGAAAAACAACACACCTGTAGTGACTGTCAATCATGCTGTGCCATATTTGCTGGCCTTTTCAGCAGACCTAAAGCCCCTGACTCATAGTGAACTGGATCCAAACTTCGTAGAGAAAAAGGAACTGCTATAACAGCGGCTATATATCGT